ACTTTCAATATGAATTCAATGTTCAAAGAACTTCTTGTATAAACTCTGGTTTGATAAAGCATGAAAGGATCTAGGGCAAATTATGGATAAGATCAGTTGTGTTCAATGTAAATTCCTGGTTCAAGTATAGACCAGATACCCACATTTCTGCTTTAGGTGAAATAGGGATGGATAAATCTAAACCAGAATCACCTTTCTTCTACCCAGGATGTCAAATAGATTATCTGTAGGATATTAAATGATCTTCTCTCGTTATCTGCCTAGTGTGAAGAATGAGTACCAAGAACTTTGTTTCTGCCAACATAGGCAGAACTTTGATTTGGGATGCTGTTCTCATTATAAGAAAGAAGGCAGACAAAGGGTTTTGGGTGTAAACAATCAAAAGTTGTTTGTTGTTGTCTATTTTCATATTTGATTGAGAGTAGTGTCGAGCCGTCTGTTGATAATTTTCACATATGATGACTCACAGGAAAGTTGAAAGTCTTCAGCACAGTGCCAGTGTCAAAAGATGGGATGAGTTTTAACTTTGATGCAACACTCAAAACAGAACAATGATGGATGACACGATGTTCTGTGAGTACTAACATGGACCAAAAATGACATACCTGCCAAAACGTTCTGTATACAAATGTGGAAGCAGCCACGTTGTTCATAAATCAATGTATGATACTTCCACGTAGTATCCTATACTTTTTCTTGGTATCTTTTTAGTCTAATAATCTGCTTTTCATCACTTAATATGGCTTTCATACACATAAGTACTGAACTACCTTATAATAACTGATGTGCTCATTAGAAACATTTTTGTTTCTTCATGAGGAATAGCTTTGGATTTTGGAGCTGGCTAGACGCGTTTGATTCCATATAATACCAGAAAATATCACCCTCACCTTAAACTGTGGGTGATTTATAAATGTAACAATCAATCTCATAAAATGGATGGTGGATAGGAGGATGATGTTGACTGGCTGCCTTCCCTCTGGTCATTAGTTCAAAATTAGGGACGATGGCAGATAGTCTTAAAAGCTTTGCCATAAATATAAAATATACAGGCTTTACAAAGGCATTTAGGGATTAGGCAAGGTAATAGGCAAATATTTAGACAGACTATTAGCATACCTTCTAAGCTTCCAAAAGGGATAACAATAACCCTAAGCTCCAACATCAACTAAATACCCCTTCTGACAAGTTCAGTTAAAAATAGAGAGTAGAAGGCAAAGTGAGACAGGTGAGACCTTGTAATGAGTATAAATATCATTTGGTCCAATGGATGTATGGCCAGATCATCTTAGAACTGATTGAAGTTTCACTTCAGTGAATGACATATTATAATCTTTTGTCTATTGGACTAAAAACGGAGTGGAATATGTTTGGCCTGTATCTTACTTGCCAATCATTCAGAAGAACAACTGGAAAATTAGAATGCCAAGAAAAGCATTCCTCAAGGTTGTTGATGCTTTCCAATAGATCAAACACTGTCTGATCACTAGGATTGAAAGAAGATGAGATGGATACTTCTCATTCCTTACCTTATCCCAGATGATCTTATAACTTATAGAAGAAGTTGTTCTAGAAGTAAATATCATGCAAGAATATCTTTCTCTCTTCTACTTGGGCAAGAATTCAAGTCCTAGAGAATATAAACAATATTTAAATAGCGGAGATACTTTCCAGTGATACTTAGAACTCTGTTTTGGGCCTGATGGGGCTCAATGCGTTTAGGATTCCACCAACGTTGAGGTATAAAAGTAAATATGTCAATGGTTTGGCAGAGTAGTTAAAATACAACAAATATTTTGATCAGTTGTAGCTTTAAGAGAAGAATTAACAACGTGCAGTCCAAAAAATGAAGAATCAAGTGCTCTAGTTCTCAATGTGGTACGAGATCGAATGGCACTGTGTCCTACCATTCTTTCTTTAAAAAATGAGAAAATTATCTCCCATTTTTATGAATACAACTACAGACTTGGATTTGCCCATTAAAGCCTTAAATATGACATAAAAGCTTACAGCTGACCTATAAGGCCATCAAGATCTATCTAATAAATATGCATCTTAAGATACAAGTAACAAACTGTGATCATACACTGTGGATCCAGTACGTGTAAAGTGGCATGGGCAAAGATGGGACATGATTACTTATAACTACTGCCACACCTCAGGAGCTCATTCAACCAATCCTCTCTTTCTACACCAACGAAAACTGCCAAAGAGATAGGATGTCAACAAGCTCAAAAATGTTTATTGTTGAGAAATATAAATCGGTTGGTTAAAATTTGATTAGAGCACTGAATGAAAGTGGTCATGATCATCTGATTGGTTGAGATGGTGTAAGTGGTCATGATCATCTGATTGGTTGAGGTGGTGTAAGTTGTCATGATCATCTG